GTTTTACAAATAAAACTACATTACTTCACTTGTTAAAACAAAAAAATCAGTAATTAGTGGGGTGCCTAATACTTTTGGCCATGGCTGTATATGTAATTGGCGCCTTGTAACCGCTGAAGCGATTTTCGGCCGAGCTCCTCCTCCAATTTGTGGGTTTGCGTCTTGATGTGCTTCCAACAATTGGTCAGGCCGTATGAAATGCTAACCTCTTGGCTACCGCTGCCACCTCAAACTTAACTGTCGAACCAAATATGTTTTATTTTAGTTCAAAGTCAGGCTTTTATTAAAATGGATCGCCTAGCAACCGCACAATGCGTTAAAATCGCGACATTTTCAAGAGCTTACACTTTCTTACTACACATTTTGCTGGATTTCGCTCTTGGACCTACACCTTAATCCATATAAAGTTCAGATCATATAATAACTGAAGCCAGCTGACCATTCACAACGACGTACATAGATAAGAAGATATGTGATTCGAACAACAAGCAGTATACGGTGGCTTCTCGGAGAAAACTATTCTTCAGCGACGAGTCACTTTACTGACTCAGTGGAGCAAAAATGATACTTGGGGCTCCGTGAATTGTTGATTAATTGACACAGTCAAAAAAGAAAAACTTACTGTTTGGTCTTTTGTCTGGAGCGCTTTTGGCCTGCGCTTTTTGGTCTGCTATTGAAGAGCCCGACTTAAAAATATGGTTTCAACAAGATCGTGCCACATGCCAGTCAACACGAGCGAATATCGCTTAAGGAAAAAAGAAATTTCCCGGCTGCGTAATTTCTCTTCTTGGCAAAATCAATAGGCCATCAAGGCCTCTCAATTTGCCACCGTCGCACTTTTTTAGAAGCTCCGCAAAAGACTGTATCTATGCGAAGAAACCTTAAACTCATAAGCAAATGAAAATCAACAATAGTATGACTGAGATTCCGCTCAATATGTGTCAAAACAAGGTGTGGAAAATTACCTCAGACGGATGGAAGTTTAAACACATTAGCAAAGCGGTCATTTGAATGATTATATGTGGAAAGCTACGCATAATACCAAAGGTCAAACTTTGTAATAAAAAATATTTTGTTATTTTTTTCGAAAATATTAGTTGGTGGGGTTGTACTTGGCTCCAAAAGGCGCACTATGATACATCTGTAAGACTTCTGATTCCACAAAAGCTTTGAAATTACTCATTTGCGCTGAAACTAGTTCAGCGAGACAGTCGAAAGGGAGAAAGGACGAAGACTACAGCCGTGAAGCCTCATTAAACAAGGACCTGTTGTTACGCCTTTCCTTTTGCTAATGGAGTTCAGGTTTGAAGCATAAGATGTTTGGATTTTTTCGAGCTAAATTTTGGCTATAACTGTCTGGTCACTCTGAACTTGATCTCATACAGCCATCTAGAGTATCCTTTCTGGGCAAATGCCCGTTTAAGCATATACTTTACTGTGGACAAAGGTAAACATGGATCATGGGCACTTTTTGAAATTCAGTATCGCTTGCCCTGGGGTATGTTCATGAACAATTTTTTTACTCATATGAAAATTTTTTCTTAAAAATGTTCGAAAGTTTTTCAAATCAAAAAAGAAACCTAAATTAAATATGAATTGAAATAAACAAAAGTAAAAAAGTTAAAATTACTTTTAAGTTTTGTTTTGGTTGCTTTTAGTGATATTCAGCTACGCATAACGAATTAATTGCCAAAAATCCTAAACGACTAATTACACATTGTACATACATAAGAAATGTTTTACGCTTGAAAATACGCACAAAAAAAATATATAAAGTTTTTAATCAAGATTTTTCTCGGAAGACATGTATGTTTACATACATTCATACATATTTATGCAGATACGATCTTCATCTAAAATCGTTATAATAATGTGAAAGTGTAATTACAAAAAAGAAAAACGTGTTGTTTAATTGGAAAGTTTTGTATTTATTAATTATTTTTAAACTAACTTCAAAAATATATATCACTATGTATGTAACAAAAGTAGAATTAAGTAATTCGGTATCATTTTCATAAAAATAGGATGCAAAATTTTTAAAGGCTTGAAAAAATCGAAGCAACAGTCACGTGTATTTTACTAAATATATTTATAAGTATTATTTTGAAAACATGCCTTTCATAGATTAAAACAACTTAAAGTTAATATTTTCATAAAACAGTCTGCTAGCGCATTATTCAGGAGAGAAAAAATATATTAGAGTGCTCCACTCGTCTTTAAACTTATAAATATGTATATACTTGTATATGCATAACTGTATCTAGAGCTGACTATTAGACGTGAGTACCGGTAAGTTGATTTGATTAATAAACTGTTGTTAAAGTAAATATTTGAAGAATGCATTGTCAGGCAAAAGCAATACAAACATATGACCCCGTAGGAAATTATCAAAAAATGATATAACATCAATTAAAACAAAATAATATGAATTAAAATAAAATCAAATAAAGTAAAATTTAATAAAATAAAAAAATATAATACAAAATAAAATAAAAAAATTAAGTAAAATAATAGAAAATAAAATAAAATGTAATAAAATAGATATATTAAAAAAAATTATTCAAAAAAAATTCAAGTAAAATAATATTAAATTAAATAACATAAAATAAAAAATAAAGTATTTTAAATTAAAATAAAATAAAATTTATTTAATTAATTAATTAAAATAAAATAAAATATCATAAAATAAAATAATCCGTGCGGAGTTTACAGTCTCCCATCGGACGCGTCCCCAGGTGGCGGATAGGGGAATGCTCGGTATATATACCGGGTAGGTGGAAATAAAATACCACTCTCGGACCAAAATTGGACAACAAAACCGATTGCGTTTATCTCAGAGTGAGCAGCGATTCGGTCAACGTCTGCACTTCATGTGAGAAGCGATTGTATTAAAACCTGTCAAGAGGTATAAAATGAAACCATTAAAAAAAATGAGAACAATAGATTAAGCCTCGGATAATTTAAATAATCATTCCAATCATACTTTTCTGGAAGGTGGCTCATCTCGACCCCAGAATGACCACACTCTAGATGTTAACAAAAACACTGGGGAAAATAGAACAAACTATTTGCAGCCGGGAAAGGTTTTGCTAGCATCAAATACAGCGACCAGCCCAGCCCGACTATGTCACCAAGGCAGCGTAAAAAATGGCAACAGAAGTTAACGAATATTTTCTGCGCACTTACGCAGGCAATACGCAGGCATGATTACAACACAGAAGCTAAAAGGGAGCAGATAAAGCAAGAAGTGGAGCAAGAACTGAGTTCCAATTTGGATTTAGTGGTGGGCTCTGAAGGAGTACCGGAAAATGCGGCGGTATCCAAAGCAGAAAATCTATAAAAAATTTGGCTTGTAGCTGAGCTGTTGCCAACAGATGAAAGTTACTCCTTAACGGGATGCAATAAATGGAAATAAAATAAAATAAAAAAACATAAAACAAAATTGTTTAAAATAATATTAAATAGAATAATATAAAATAATATTAAATAAAATAACAAAAAATATAAAATAAAATATACTAAGACAAAATAAAATAAAATAAAATAGAAATAAAAAATTAAAATAACATAACATAAATCAATTAAAATAAAATATAATAAGACAAAAAAATAAAATAAAACAACATAAAATTAAATAAAATTGCTTAAAATCATATTAAATAAATAAAATTAAATGAATTAAGTAAAATAATATAGAAGAAACAAAAACAAAAATCAAGTTATATAAAAAAATTAAAATTAAATAACATAAAACGAAATTAAATTGAGTACAATAAAATATAATATTATTAAATGAAATTAAAATAATTCCAACAAAATTAAATCGATAAGAGAAATTTAAAATATATAAATAAATAAAAATATATTAGGTGTAGTAAACAGAAATCCATTATATTTCCAATAGATATCATTATTTTTCGCTAGAAAAACTGAAAAGCTTTTATTACAGCTGTACTTGTGGTTGATTCAGTTTCAAAAGGAAATATGCTATATTTTACATTTTTTCTGCGATAAGGGCGAAAACGCAAGCTAGGCTGAAAATGTGAATACGTTTATGATCCTGATACTGTAACAGTCAAGTATGCATAATTTTTAATCCGTTAATTTTGATGTAAAAGATGCTTCACGGAGTAGAAGTCCAATTGTCAAAAATGTCGATGAAGTATTGAGCATTGTCTAGTCCGACTGCATAATACAAGAAAATATAATAAAATTAAATAAAATTAAATAAAATTAAATAAAATTAAATAAAATAATAAAATTAATCAATATTTAAATTCCCTAAAATGAAATAAAACGATTAGTTAAAAAAAAATAAATAAACAAAATTAAATATTATTAATCAAATTAAAATAAACTAAAATAAGTAACATATTATAAATTAAATAAAATTAAAACGAATAAAATAATAAGTGAAATGAAGTTATTGATATAAAATAAAGCGAAACAAAATAAAAACTTAAGTAAAAAAAAAATTATTTTAAACAAAAATAATCGAAAATTAAAATAAAGTAAAATAAAAAAAAATAAATAAAATTAAATAAAAATCGAAAAAAATGAAATAAAATAAAAATAAAAATATATTGATTGGCTTAGAATAAGTCAAATAAAATAAACAAAGCCTTAAGATGAATGAACTACTAATTAAGTAAACAAATAAACCGGTCTCAGTAGGACGCTAGCGCCACAGTCTGTTGTTGGCTTATAAGATATATTTACTACTCATAACTCAGCTGTTGTACGCCAGCAGCGCAGTCGCCAAAACACCGTTGACGCTTGGCAATTTGCAATTGCTGTTTGCTAACGGCTCTGACAGTGACAGTGGCAGTGGCTTTGCCAACTGATTGCCAGCAACTTTGAAGTGGCCTTACCGCGTGTGTGTCGCGTCGAAGTTGACTTCCGTCGCTAGCGTCAGCGGCGGCACGTAAGTGTGCTCCGTATTGTGTAGAATTGAGGAAGAAACCTGCAATTGCTGGCAACAAAAGTAAATTGTTTCATTTAGTCTTAAAGATATCGTAGCATGATAAAGACGCGTAAAAAAGTAATTTCAATTGGTTTATAGTGAAAAAACTGTCACAAAAAATTCGACAGCGCAAATATAAGAGGCATATTTTATAATCTTAATAAAATATACAATTATTTAATGTTTACAAAATAAAAAAATATGTAAATAATTCATAATTAACTGCAGATAAAAATTGAATTTTGCTTTGTGTATTGTTAGCAAATTTATTCATTTTCATTTTATTGTTGGCGGTTGAAAAATCTGTTCTGCGTATAATTGTTGTAAAAAACAGTGAAAAATAAATAAATGCGAAACAGCAAGCAAAATAAAATTGAAAATATAAACAAGTGTCAGTTAAAATATTATGCATCACAAATAAATAAAAAACACAAAACAATAAGTAAACTGAAAACGGGTTTTTGTATATAACAAAACGAAAAAAGCAAAAAAAGGTGAAAACAACAAATAATTTTGTGCAGTTGAAGGGAAATAAAATAAATTAAATTCATACACTGAAAATGATAGAAAGCGAGGTGGGTAGTAAAATCTAATAATAATTAAACACATTATCGTTTTATTAATTGAATTTATAATTAAATTACTTAACTTTTAACATTATTTAAATTTATTAATTTCTTGTTTACATTTATTTATTTCCGTCTTATTTAATTTTATAACTTCATTTTGCTTTTTATTTTGTTGTATTTAGTTAGTTTTATTTATTTATATTCCATATATGGTTATATTTGTTATATCCTTTTATTTTATTTTATTTTTTTTTATTTTACTTTATTTCTTGTTCAATTTATTTAATTTTATTGTACATTATTTCATCTTATTTCATTTAACTTTAGTTGTTGTTATTTTAATTTTGCACTTTATTTTATTTTGATTTATTTTATTTTGTTTTATTTTATTTGATATTACTTTATTTAAATAGATTTTATTTTATAATATTTACTTTGCTTTATTTTATTTTTTAATTAATTTCATTTCTTTTCTTAGCTTGATTTAATTTCTACATATTTTGTGTAGTTTATTTTATTTTAATTCATTCCATTTCATTGTAATTTTATTTTATTTTAATTATGTTACCTTTTCTTAAATCTCTTCAGTTTAATTTTTTATATTTTATTTTACCAGATTTTATTTTTTTTCATTTTATTTTAATTTAGTTAAGTTTAATTTAATATAATATAATTTTATTTAATTTAATTTTATTTTATTTTATTCATTAAATTTTATTTGAAATAATTTCTTTTAATTTATTTAGCTTAATTTCATTCCATTATGTTTGACGTAATTTATTTTATTTTTATTTATTTTACTTTAATTTAATTTTATTAATGTTACTTTGCTATATTTAAATCATTTTATTTTAAATTGTTCTGATTTATTTTACTTTATTTTATTTTATTTTTTCTTTTAATTTTGTTTACCTTTCTTTTATTTTATTTTAATAAAAAAATTTTACTTTTTTTTATTTTATTTTATTTTACCTTATTTCATTTCATTTAATTTAGTTTAATTTTATTTTATTTTACGTTTCTTATTTTATTTAAATTTATTTTTCTTTTTTTTATTTTAATTTGTTCTATTTTATTTTACTTCATTTTAATTTAATTAATTTCACTTCACATTATAGTAACTAATTTTAGTTTAATTTAATCTTATTTTACTTTATTTTATTTCATTTTATTTTGATTTATTATTTTATGTAAGGTTATTTCATCTTTATTATTTTTATTTTATTCAATTTAATTTAATTTTATTTTATTTAATATAAATCATAATATTTACAATTTTTCTTTTTATTTTGTTTTGTTCCGTTTTATTTTTTCATATACCATTTAATTTAGTTTTATTTAATTTTATTTTATTTCTATTACATTTTATTTTTTTCTTATGTTTTTTTAATATTATTTAATTTCGTTTAATTAATGTTATTTTTTTAGTGTTTTTATTTATTTGATTTACTTTTTGTTGTTGTTTAATTAATGTTATTTTTTTAGTGTTTTTCTTTATTTGATTTACTTTTTGTTGTTGTTGTTTAGACAATATTAATTTATTTTATTTATTTTTGATAATTCACCAATTTAATTCAGAATATTTTGTTTGGTTCCATAAACATAAAATACTGCTAATAACCGCACAAAAATATATATATATATAAAATAAATCGCTTAATTAAAATAATATTAACGGCTTAAAATCACTTAATAAATATTAATCAATAATAATTAAATTAGAATGAAAAAGTGTGTCATTCAAAAATCACAATTTCTCATGAATAATTCCAACAAACATTGAAATTAATAAAAATAAATATTGTTACAATTACAATTTCGTATATTTGTAAAAATGTACATACATACATATGTATGTTTGTGTATGCAATCACAATATGCACAGTGTGTGATTTGCGCTCGACAAGTGATATTGAGAATACGCATAAATGTGCAACAAACAAAATATAAAATAACAACAACAAACAAATGAAAATATACCTACACACATATGTATTTACATACAATTCTCTGCATACATTTATATGTGCATTTGTATATATATATATATATACATGTGTTCAAACATTTTTTTGCTTAAGTGATGAATGGAAAATTTCCACAAATGCAGACATAGCATATTGTGTATTTATATACATACATATGTACACATATTTATAAATTACAAAAAAAAAAATAAAAACTAAAAGAGCACAGCACAGGAATTAAAAATGAAAGAAAGAAAAGAAAAGAAGACATTTGAAGAAGCGCGTACATTTAGCACTGAGCATGCACAAGTGAATCGGACTGGCTGACTGAATGTCTAACTGTCTGTCTGCCGTCTATGTATGCCAGTAGTGATGTCCATTTAGGGCACTGGTATGCAGTTATTACGGGATTTCGGGATTTGTTAACTATCTATAAACTCTGTTTACTACTCACACGGTAGTTCTAATAAAGACTTGAATAAATATTGTACCAAAAATGTCAGCATAGTTAAATTAATTAATTCTTTTATCAAACAAAATTCGAAATTTAGTTTTATTTTCAATTTCTAAGCCCCTACAAATTCTAGAATATTTTAAAAAAGTTTAAAAGTTTTTAGAACGGTACAAAAACAGCCTTGGGTAATATAAATAATTTCTAATCCCGAAGTTGATTGCACCTCGGGACTCACGTCGCCATTTAGGGCCCACGGTTATAACATTTGCTATTGCTTGCCCTTCTTTCTAGCCCTCTGTGGATCTTTGTATGGTCTCATATGGGAAATATTTACTTTGCGTGTGATATACTTATGTATGAAGTGAATTTTTTCGGCTTTGATTTGGCAAGTATTTTTATTAAAATGTACAATAGTGTGAATGAATTAATTATATAAATTTTAAATTACTTAAAAAATGTAATATTATGTTTGTGTGCATTCCAATTTATTGTAATCTTAATCAGTTGCATGGAATGCACGTGGTTTTAGCTGAAAATCACGTAAACTTGAAAGCTGTTAAATTGATTTTTTGTTGTTGTTTGCAATTAAAACAAGAAGCCAGTCACGATTTGATTACATACATTATATACAAACAATATAACTTCGTAGCCGATAAACAATGGAATTTTTACTTAAACCCTTAAGCGCAATCGTATTAATATTTACTTACAATATGAAAGACAATAGAAGGTATTGAATTACTACGGAAATTGTGATTGATTTACCATACGCCACTTTTTTATTATTTCATATTTGTTTTCTATTTAATTTAATTTTTCTATTATTTTGTTATAAAATTTTATATTATTATTATATTAATTTATCTATTTATCTTATTATCATATATAATTTTTTGTTATTTTATAAATTCCAATGGTGTATTAACTTTGGCCCGAAGCATGTAAGTACCAGAAGGAGAAGAGCTAGAATCCTATCGATACAATCAGAATGACAAGCTGAGTTGATTTAGCCATGCCCGTCTGTCCGGCTGTCCGTCCGTATTTTGGAACGCGACTAAATCTGTAAACTGTATCGTAAAGTTCCCCTTACAATCATCTAGCATCTAGCAACGTGAAAATAGCTATCATCCACTCGTAGAATGAGTAAAATATCGGTACTTGAAAATCATGGAAATTCTACCACCATAATAAATAGTCCCCGAATAACCGAATTGTTCAGATTTTAGGTTATGGGTCAAAAATCCGTCAAACAAGCTTCAAGTAAGTTCGAATAATTTTTTACATTTTTGGCAGAGCTCCTCCTCCAATTTGTGGTGTTGTTTCTTGATGCTTTCCCAACAAATGGAGGGAACTACAGTTTATACTAAGCCGCTTTCGAACGACCGATGTGTTTTTTATGAGGAGATTTTGATTTTCATGTCATTTAAACAGACGGAGGGGTTGACATTAACTGTCGAGGGTGATCAAAATTTACTTTCAATTCCTTTAGATATTGGTCGACCTAGGACTCCAACCCTGGTCTTCCAAATGATAGTGCGCAATGCTAGTCAACCGGTAAATATCTTATTTTGGTTCAAATCGAATTGGAGGGATTCTTTATGGTAAAATTAGCACTTCTTTTCTTGTTTTCATTTTACGTTATTTTGTGAATTTATTTTGGTATATTTTATATTATTACTTTTATTTATTTTTAATTTAATTATTAATATCCTTTTTTATTATTGTTTATTTTATTAAATTAAATTTTATTTAACTTCTTTTATTTTATGTTAATTCAATGAAGCAATTTTAGTTTAATTGATTCTATCCCATTTTGTGTTAAGTTTTTTCGGTTAATTTATTTTATTTTTTCTCGTTTCATGTTAATGTTAATTTAATTCCTTTTTAATATTTTTGTATTATTTTTTTTATTTTAATTTAATTTGTTTACTCGGCTGTAATGGCTTCAGTAAAGTACGTAAATAATATTAATTTTATTTTATATGTTTTATTGTATTATACTTGTTATTTAGTTAATATTTTCAAATTTAATCTAAGCTTAGTTGTTTTTCTAGATTATTTAATTTAAGTTTACTTAATTTTTATTAAATCTTATTTTGTTTGCTCTATTTTACTTTCTGTTATTTTATTTTTGCCATTTTTGTTTGTTTTTGTTTTATTTTGATTTAGTACATTTAATTTAATTTTCTCTTATTAAACTTTGCTTTAACTTAATTTTTTTTTAATTATTTTATTTTATTTATTTTTCTTTTATTTCATTTTTCTTTTATTTTATTCGATTTTATTTTATTTTAATTTTTGTGTTTTTTAGTTTTTGTAATTTATTTTTTTATTTCTTTTATTTATTAACTTTTATTTTAAATTATTTCACTTCAATTGATATAATTTTATTTTATATTATTTTAATTTGGCTTATTTTATTTCGTTGTATTTTAGTTCATTTTATTTTATTTTTATTTTTTATCTTTTTTATATTTTTTTATTATTTTATATTTTTAATTTTTTATTTATTTTTTTAATTTTTTTATTTTATTTTATTTATTTGTATTTTATTTTATTTTACTTTATTTTATTTTATTTTGGTT